GTAAGGAGCGAAGACGTAGGTCATGGTGACTGAACGTCGTAAACATATCATGTGTTTATGTTTTGCTTAGTGTATATTGTATTTGTGCTTATTCATATCATTTTTGTTCATATTCATCTCATATATTTCTTGCAAGAACAAATTAATCAATATAATTTTAATTGGCATTTAATCAGAATTAGATTAGCATAAGACCCTAATCAACCCCCTCTAGGGTCTAACACATTCATCTCAGGTAGTTGGGACTTCAGTTAGAGGATGATCTGATGGTTCATTTTTTAGTCGCTTCTCTACCAAGGAAATTTGACACTTTTAAGGAGAACTATAGTTCTCAAGACAGGAAATGTGACTTGAATGAGCTTATTATTGTATGTGTTGCTGAGGAAGAGCAACTAAAAACAGGAAAAGCTAAGATGACAAATCTGACACATGGCAAGCTTGGACCAAATAAGGTAGGAAAGAAATCCTTCAAGAATCAAGGGTACAATAAGGGGAAGAAGTCTTTCGGTATTTTTTCCACTGCTTCTAGCACTTCTTCAGCAAGTGAAAATGTTAAATGTTTCTCCTGCAAGAAACCTGGTCATATGAAGAGAGACTGTCTGGAGTATAAGCAGTGGCTAAAGAAGAAGGGAGGGGATAATCCATAGTCGGAAGGCAAGGACAAATGAGTAACTATTTTTGGAAAACTCACAGCCTTTAGAGGTGGAGCTCGTTAGGACTTTCAGTCTGCGCTTGGATTCTGTAGTTTTCTTAGTTTTATCAGACACTTTCTATGTACCTCCTATGAGAAGGAATTTTATTTCAGTTTCTAGACCTTTTTTGGATCTGGTCATAGCTTTGTTTTCGAGAATAATTCTGTTTCTATCAGAAATGATTTGGATGTTATCGGACATAGTTTCTTAAATGACGATCTTTATAGATTAAATTCGGATGCATCTTTTCTTTCCCCTCTCTGTATGTCTGTGAATTCTTCTTCTTCTGATACAAAGTGTCCTAGGCTTAAAACAATTCTTTCACAATTTGGCATCAGAGATTGGGACATGCTTCAAGAAAACGATTGAAATCCTTAGTAAAGTCTAGTGTTCTTGAAAAATTAGATTTCTCTGATTTTGGAACATGTGTTGACTGTATCAAGGGAAAGATGACTAAATTGAGAAAATTTGAAGCCTCTAGGAGTAAAGGTCTCCTTAACCTCATTCATATAGATATTTGTGGACCTTCCCACTCTCTCTCATGGTGGTCAACGATACTTCATCTCCTTCATAGATGATTTTTCATGCTATGCCTATATTTTTCTTCTTCACCACAAATATGAGGCACTGGATGTTTTCAAGATTTTTCAAGCTGAAGTTGAAAAACAGTTAGAAAGAAAGATTAAAATTGTGCGTTCTGATCGAGGTAAGGAATTCTATGGTAAAAGCGATCAGGACGACACATATCATGGTCACAAGACATTGTTCCTTAGTACACTCTCTCAGGTTCTCCACAACAAAATGGAGTAGCCGAAAGAAGAAATTGTACTTATCAAGATGCTGATCGCAATATGATGAGTCATTCTGATTTTCCTAAAATTTTTTTAGGATGAGGCATTGAAGACAGCTGTATATATCATCAACCGTCGTCCATTTTGATCTTGAGCTCTATCATATGGATATCAAGACGGCATTCTTGAATGGAAATTTGAATGAGGAAATCTTTATGGTGCAACCTGAAGGGTTTGTAGTTAAGTGAGATCTGGTCTGCAGATTGAAGAAGTTAATATATGGTCTCAAAGAGTGATACTTAAAATTTTATCAAGTGATAACATCAAATGGCTTCCGAGAGAATCTTGTTGATCACTGCATATACCTCAAAATCAGTGGGAGTCGATTTCTCATTCTAGTATTATATGTAGACGATATATTGCTTGCTAGCAGCGATATTCATCTCCTACATGAGACTAAGGATTTTCTTTCGAGACATTTCAATATGAAAGACCTCGGAGATGCTCATTATGTTTTGGGCATCAAAATCCATAGAGATCGGATTAAAGGCTTGTTGGGCTTATCTCAAAGGGCTTATATTGAGAAACTCCTTCAGCGATATGGTATAAAGTTTTGTGCACCAGGTGAAGCCCCAGTTATCAAAGGAGATATGTTCAACAAATCTTAATGCCCACGAAATGAAGTTGAGCGTAGGCTCGTGAACTATGAGTAGTATGTCTCTGCAATTGTGAGTCTAATGTATGTGGTGTCATACATCAGGCCAGACATCATTTATATCGTGAGAATATTAGGTAGGTTTCAGCAAAATCCTGGTGTAGCTCATTGGAAAAAGAAGGTTTTACGGTATTTGCAGAGGACCAAGGATTTTATGTTGGTCTACAGAAGGTCTGAAAATCTAGAAGTCATCGGTTATTCAGATTCAGATTTTGCTGGATGTGCTGATAGCAAGAAATCAACATCAGGTTATATAATTCTGCTAGCTAGAGGAGCAGTTTTCTAGAAAAGTGCCAAACAGTCCTTAGTGACGACATCCACCATGGAGGCAGAGTATGTTGCTGTTTTTGAAGCAACATTGCATGCCTCTTGGCTTAAGAATTTCATCAGTGAATTAAAGGTGGTGGATTCCATTCAAAGACCAGTAAAGTTGTATTGTGACAATCAGGTAGTCATATAGTTTGTAAAGAACAAGAATTTTTCTAGCAGGAATAAGCACATCGGTGTGAAGTACTTGTTAGTCCTTGATAAGGTCGAACAAGGATTGATTGAGATTCCTTATCTGCCGACTCAATTAATGATTGCTGATCCCTTGACCAAAGAAATTTCTCCAGGGCTCTTCAAGGAACATGTATCTAGTATGAGTGTTTTAGAGTCTTTCGATTCTATATGATCAGTGAGATTTAGTTGTAGGAGCAGTTTTGCTTTATTTTTAAGTACTATATTCTGGATTGCTTTGAGCTCATAAAGAAACTATTGTGCTGATTTTTATATTAGCAGTTTTATATATATATTTAAAGTAAAGAGTTTTAAGTTAATCGTAAAGAAACTTGAATTAAAGATAGTGGTCCATAGAGTGATAAAGGTTAAAGTAAAGAGACTTTTAAAAAATTTGTGCATAAGCTGAATGTGATTGGGCATCATATTTGAGGCTTTTGTTCTGGACTAAAGGTGATAGTTTTCACATGACGGATGCCGGTAAAAGTTTCAGAACAGCATACACGTTTGTGTATGTTGCAGATGATACTTAAGGGCGTACATCAGATTTGACCATAAGGGATGTACGGTTACTATTACACTCCACTAAAACCACCATAAGGAAAATGTCTTTAGAACATTAGCAGTACTAGCGGTTGGACCGTGGAGTGACCTTGTGCCATATTAGAGCATATAGTGTTTTCACGATCAACCATTAGTGGTACTTTTGTTTTAAGGAAAAGGTTTCAAAAACTATCTTAAATAGAATCATGGCAACAAGTTGTTTTCTAAAATAAATGGGTGCTCACCCGATTTTAAAAGTTTTTAAAATTTTAAATATATTTTTAAATTAAAATGAGGTATGTTATGCCAAGTGGGAGATTGTTGGGTTCGATTAATCCAACGAACCCATGTGGCCCAACCTACTTGTTTTTGGATTTGATTTAAAGTTTCCATTGATTCAAGTTAGGATCATGATGCTAACCACATGGTCTGATTAGACAGTTTCATGTTTATCAAGTTGGGTGGTTATCATGAATATCTAAAGGATAGGATCGATCGGAGTGTAATCCTATGGTTGTGATTAAACCATGATGGGTAGGGTTAATCACAAATATCTATTTAAGAGTGGGAGTCCCTCCTCTCAACCGTACACAGAAAAGAGACCAAATTCTCATCGTTGGCTACGGGAGGAGAGAGGAGAAGACTTCTATTGTTTCGACAGTGAACAGTAACTTTAATCTAAATTTCCAGTTTAATTATTCATGTCTAGATTGTTAAATTATCCAACATGGTTATGACCTATGATATTCAAACTACTCCCTTAATGGTTACTCAACTTAACCTACTCCCAAATTAAGTTGGAGGGTCAGAATTTCCCCCCCAACAGACTTCCAATGTTCTTCAACGACCCCATCTTTGATCACATACTTAACAAAGTATTAAAATTTATTCAAATTTCTATTTTAATATATATACCACTTATATCTACTTCTCTATACTTAAAAGAGAATCCAAAGAATAATGTTTATGATATAATAATTGCACAGTAAATACTGTGGCATAAGCAATAAATCAAATCTGGTCCTCTGCGCTCGTAGTTAATGTTCATGCTATAATAATTTACTATAGTATAAACAGTAAATCAAATCTACACTTGAAGTTACTATTCATGCTATAGTAATTTACTGTATCATAAAAAGTAAAGTAAATCAAATGTATTAAAACTTGGATCATTCTTTAAGTATAGAGAAGTAGATATGATTTCTAAATCAAATGTATAAAAACTTGGATTTTTCTTTAAGTATAGAGGAGTAGATATGATTTTTAATTTTAAGCATACAATAATTAAATGGAATGTATTAAAGCTTAGAGAGAGTTAAGTTCAAAATGCAGTGCTTAAAAAAACAGGGGATGTGCTTTGCACGGGGTGCACACTAGTTATTTTAATAGTATGGTCAATAATGATACCATGTTTTGGAGTAATATTAAGTAATGTAGTTCATTATTGTTTGAGGGGTGATATGAAGCATGACAAAACAATTTTATTTTTGTTAGCATAGAACTTTTCACCTGATATCACCAAAATTTTAATGCAAATGTCAATATTACTATTTTGTAAAGGGCATAATAGTTCTAAGATTAGTCATGTAATAGGGTTCCTATAAAAGAACTTTCGATTAGAATGGACACTAATTTATTTTAGGATTATTATTGAGTCCTAAAACGAAATTTTAGGCCGAAAAGGACTCTTATTGTGGTTAGACCAACAACATTAATTGGGAGTATTTTGTCATGTTCCTTTTCAAATCTGGTATAGTCTTATATAAGTTTGATGACAACAAAATAGTCCTAATTACGCTTGTGTTGTCTCATTAATCAAAACAACTTCTGCGTGATTAATTTCTCTTAACAGCGTGCTTCTCCATTAATGAAACCAAACCCATTTGCGAAGCTAATCTTCAACCTCCCGCCAAAATCCAGTTTCACCTCAACTCAAAGCAGTTGGCAAAATCTCAAAGAATCTCTTGCCAATTCAATCTCGACCCACTGCAGATCCCCTAACACCCTCCTTTGCCTCCATGCTCAATCAATCTCCTCTGGCCTCCATCAAAATCTCTACATCTGCAGCCATCTCATCACCAAATACTTCCATTTTCAAGACATCGAGAGTGCCCGAAAAGTTTTTAGTTATCTAAGAGGCAGCGGCAGGCCACTCGAGAAGACCCTCGTTTGGAATTCTCTTATTAAGGGTTATTTGAGAAACGGGCTTCCAAGATTTGCCCTTGAAGTGTTTAATGAAATGCTTGAACCTTCGTCTGGGTGCTACCCGGACAAGCAAACATTTTATCTTGTGATAGCGGCGTGCACCCATTTGTTCGAATTTGAATTGGGTTTTGCAGTTGAGGAGCGTGTTAAGAATAAAGGATTGCAATGTGATGTTGTTATTGCGACAGGGTTGATTGGTTTGTATTCCAAGTGTGGGGATGTTGAGAATGCGCGGAGAGTGTTTGATGAAATGCCTGTTAGAGATGTGGTTGCTTGGAACGCGATGATATCGGGCTATTCACTAGCTGGGTGTATTTCTGATGCTATAAAGTTGTATGAGAAAATGAGGGGTGCTGACGGAATATTTCCTACGGAGGCTACACTGGTGAGTTTGATCTCTGGTTGTGGGGATTTGGGTTTGCTTCGTAATGGGAAAATCTTCCATGCTCATACGACGGAAATAGGTTTTGAAGCCAATACGAATGTCTTGAACTCTCTGATGGCAATGTATACTTCTTGTGGTTGCTTGGATGATGCAGATAAATTGTTCGATGGGATGATTTTAAGGGATGCAATTTCATGGAGTACAATGATTGGTGGATATGTAGAGAATGAACACCCACATGTTGCTCTTGGTCTTTTCCATAAGATGATTTCAAATACAGGGATTTTTCCCACCCGACCCATTTTGCTTAGTGTGATTCAAGCCTGTGCAGATTTGGGTGATTATCAAGAGGGCATATGGATAAAAAATAAGTACTTGGTAAACGAGAATGGAGAATTAACATCGGAAGTTTATCTGATCACTGCATTTATCTACATGTGTGCAAGGTGTACAGAGATAGATACTGCAACGAAACTTCTTGATGAAGTCGCATCAGTTAGAGAAGATGTTGTTGCTTGGAATGCAGTTATCAAAGCTGGTGTAGAGCGTAAACAGGAGAATCGAGTGTTTGAGATCACACGAATAATGCAAAGAAGAGGAATCAGATTTGATGCTGTAACCTTCTTAACAATGCTACCAGCTATCTCTTTAATTCCATTGCCTATAAAAGGTCTCGAAACTCATGGTCACATTATAAAACTAGGTTTTGATTCAGAAAGATCAGTTGCTAATTCGCTTATTGATATGTATGCTAAATCCGGAAGCATTAATGACTCATTTAAACTATTTATTAGTATTCAAGAGAAGAATGTAATGTCATGGAGTCTGATGATAAAAGCTTATGCTTGGAATGGAAGCGCAGAAGAGGCTCTTGATCTGTTTAAGCTGATGACAAAAACAAAGACAAGACCTAACCATATAACTTTCCTTGCCATATTATCTGCTTGTAGCCATGCTGGATTTGTAGATGAAGGGAGGGAGTTGTTTGAATCTATGGAAAAAGAGTATGGCTTGGATCCAGGCATTGAACATTTTACATGTATGATTGATATTTTTGGCCGAGCTGGGCTTTTGAAAGATGCATATAACTTTTTAAAGATAGGGATGAAGAAGAATTGCGTGAATTCAGTTCTGTGGGGAACTTTACTTAGTGCTTGTAGAGTGTATGGGGATCTAGTGACTGGAGAAGCATCAGCTCAGCAATTATTTATGTTGGAGTCAAATAATGCAGCTAATTATTTGATGCTTGCTGATATTTATCTTTCAGCGGGTCGGAGGGAGGAAGCAAATGGTGTTTTAGATTTGTTGAGGGAGAAAGGATTGGAAAGAAGAGTAGGTTGTAGTTGTTCTAATGGAAGCTAGAGATATTCTGTTTTATATTTATTTAGTCTAAGTGAAGTCACATATCCTTATGGACTATGTACAATATCTAGTTGGTACTAGAACTAATATATCTATTGATTTGTTTAGTGGTGATAACTTCTGATCATGTTATCACTATTGCAGAATGTCTTCCTTCTTGGAGCAAATGATAGAAGATGCTATTCTTCCAGTTCAGAAAAGGACAGAGGTAGTTTCATTTATATTACTGAATGTCTGCAAATATTTGATTATATTTTAAAATTTCACTTAATTATCTCTTCTTTGTTCTGCAATAGGCAGGTTCTTTCACTGAAAAATATCTCTCCTAAAAAAATGCCTTAGAATACCTGAATATTGACATGGGATGAGCATTTAAGCTTGCTCTACTTGCATTTGGCTATTCTGCTTCTGCCCAAAATTTTCACCATGTAAGCTCGTGGAGAATTTATTTTTGAAGATTTTTTCATGTTTTATGAATATTCTATGGAATTATTTAAGCTCTCTTCATGCCAAGGACTGCTATTTCTTGGTACTCCTATTTCTTTGTAGATCTTTCAACTTTTAAAGCATGAATCAGTTTTAACTTGTGTCAAATTTATGAGACTATGTTTAAAAGGAATGTATTAGAAGAAGACTTCGAGCTTTTAGGTATGGTGCATTATGTTGCATGCATTAGTCTTGAGATCTGTAATTTCACCAATTAAATGTATGCAGAAGTGCAGAACTGACAAAAATAAAGAGAAGCCCATCATATCAGTCCAAGATAAAGAAAATACAATAGAAATTCCACTTTTTATCTTTTCTAATGGCCTGGTTTGAAATTAGAAAGGCTATTAGTGAGCAAAACCTCTCAAGCCAAATCATTCAAAATCTTTCCCTGTTTACTGTAGAACCTGATGACATGGAGCCTATATGAACTCCATGAATCCAAGGAAGAAGGAAGTAGGAGTCCAAATCCTTTCTGCTTCAAAGCAGACAAAGAAAGAACTTAGAACTGTATTTAATCTATGGATTATGTAGTTACCCACTAATTATTTTCATTTGATGCCAAATTTAGTGCTCAAGTTTGATAGAGAGGTATTCTCCCATCCAGAATGAAATTAAGCTGTGGGAACTGTATTTTTGGAGCAATTTTCTATTTAGCATCTTGGCTCTGGAAATTTATCATGGAAAAATATAACTACCCCTTTTTACTGCGGCCAGTGTTTGTCATGCAAATAGTTAACAATGTGATATGAGATTCTATGTGTGGAATGTAACTTTGCTTCATATGGTACTTCTATAAATTTTCCGTTGCTCTAGGTTCTGATAAAGCCATCAGGATCGCAGTCAGGAACTCTTCATTATTATCATGATTAGGCCTTCCTTCTGTTTTGTTAAACCAAGAAAGACAAAGGAAATCATTACACAACTGGATCATAGATGTGAAAAATGAACTCATCTAGCCACGGTTTAGATCCTGTAAACTTTCACATCCTTAAATGAGGATGGTTGTAACCTTATAAGCATGACGATCTGCAAAGAAAAATTAGCAGTATGAGATACCACTGAAAAACAAAAGTTGAAAAGGAGAATAAGCATTTTAAAAAGATTATCTTTCATTATGTTTAGCAACTTGAAAATTTCTTTATTGCACAGGAACTTCTGTTTTTTCTCAGAGAACAATTATTTAACACCTGAATGATCGTATTAATACTATTCACAAAAAGCTTAATGGGGATTGGTTGCTTTGGTCAGATTCCAACTAAGTATTTCAAGTTTCTTCATTCCCTTCTAACTAAAACCTGTTTGACTAGTCTTAAGATCAGACTGTTTCTTATTGCATAGTTGTCTATTCACGGGGTATAAGAAAAAGATATTTTCTTTTACAATGCTATTGGAATATGGATATGAGACCAGGAAGTTAGAAATTCTAACACATGAATGATCGTTTCATGATTTTATTTTATTTGATGCATCTATATATAGGTTAGCTTTTTGTATAATTTTTTATTAATTAGATAATTTTTTATGTATAAACTTCAAAGTTTTTTAACTATAAAAGACAAATAGACAATATCTTAGTTGTACACTGAATATCTTGTATGTAATTTGCCCACGTATTCCCATATTTAAAAGTATATATATTTTCATTTTGGAGATTCTTCACCTTATGGGTGAGTATACAGCCTTTGCTTTGTAAATTATTCTAAATATAAAGAAATTTGGTATCAGTAATTATACAACTTGACCATAATGTTGATTATCCTAAAAAAGATAAGTTCATTATCTCTAACAGCCAACAATTACATGCACCCTTACTATTTCTTCATTATCTCCAACAGCCCACAATCACATTACTCTTTTGTAATTTATGTTGGAAGGTAGCCGGCCAAGAACTAAAAAAAAAAAAAAAATTTCTAGTAAGGTATACAGAATTCCATAAGTATGGTAACTGTTGAGTTATTTAGATACATTAAGCTAATTAGTTAATATTGTAAGGGCTTATTTGTAAGAGTACATTAATATAAAGGGTACCTCTCTGTGAGAAAAGAGAACCCTAATCTTTACCTAAGAAAGTCTACATGGTATCAGAGCCATGTTGCGGCGCCTCTGGGAGCTGGGCGTGATCGTGATCCTTGTCGTGTGAATCGCGCACAGGGTCGTGTCCTCGAAGAGCCCGACGAAGACGAAGATCAGGACGACGAAGCCCGACGATCCGACGAAGATCTCAAGATCCGACGAGGCTTGCAGCAAGATCCGACGAGATCCGACGCTGCTGGAGACGAGGGCGACGCATATCCGACGAGATCCGACTAAGATCTCAAGATCCGAGATCCGACGAAGATCCGACGGCCGATCAGTTTCTTCCGACGCTGCTGGAGACAAGGGCGAAGCTGCTGAAGTTTGCACGATCGTGCTCGAGGAGGCGGAGAAGTCGTTCGTGTCCCAGATTCAGGATTTTGGGAACAGTTCGCTGTGCTAGAAGAAGAAGATGAAGGGGAAGTTTCCAGCGGTTTTTTAGAATCTTTGATTCTCATCAGGTGCTGAAAAGTTGGATTTGGGGGAACAGTTCGCTGTGCTAGAAGAAGAAGATGAAGGGGAAGTTTCCAGCGTTTTTTTTTTTGGCATCTTTGATTCTCATCAGGTGCTGCAAAGAGAGATTAGAAGGGTAGATTGGTAGAGAAGAAGCTATAAAAACTCAGAGTGGAACTTCCCAAATCGACGAAGGCAATGAATGACTGATTTGGGGGCTTAAAAAAAAGTTAGTTTTTTTTATTTGGGTGTTTTTTTATTGGGGGGAAGAGAAGACGAAAAAGGGGATCTGTATCAGATGAGCAGGTAGTTTGGTTCTGCTACAGTAAAAAAAAAAGGGTAAAAAAAAAAAGGAAAGAGAGAGGTTTTTGATTTGTAATAGTTTATTTAGGTTTCCTCGACAAGTCAGTCCTAGAACTGATGAGAGAAGAGCTGATATCTCACTTTGTTGAGATATCTTGCTTCTTGGTTCTTGTTTCCTTGGTGAAACAAGAATTCTTGTTGATCTATCTATCTTGTTGTACTGTCGAAGTGCTGCCGGAATTTTTTCGTTGCGCACCACAAGAATAGAAGTTGGACCGATGACAAAGACTGAAAAAAATACGATGGAGGAGATCATCAAGAAGTTGAACAACCTGAGGGTATTTCAGATCGAGAAGAAGATCGGCGCTATAGTCCAGGGAGAGAGGACTGTACAGGAGTACGCCACAGAGCTGAAGCGCTTGTGGCTCGATCACGATCACTTCTCGCCCCTTGCGAGCTGCAAGGACCCTGAGTGCAAGGAGCGCGAGGCCTCTTTGCAGAAGAGGACCATGTTGTTTCTCCGAGGTAGATCCCACCACTGGAGAAGGCAGTCTCGGCCATGATACAGGAGGAGAGTCGTATCAGGCTACGGTCTGAAATAGGTGGACTTACAGGAGAGAAGTCTGCACTGGTGGTATCCAACCCGGATAACACTGGATTCAGAGGGGAGACTAGGCAGTGCTTCAACTGCGGAGAGGTAGGGCATCTGAGACAGATGTGTCCTAAGCCACCTAGGGAAAGGAACTGGGGTGAACATGGTCAGACTCGTGGCCGTGCAGGTCGAGGAGGCAGGGGGCGTGTAAGCAAAGGAGTTGCTCACCTAGCTGTGACAGATGAGTCTCAGACTACTGCTGGGATGACTGGAGCTGAAATAACAGAGCTGGAGGAACTACGCTGGGATGACTGGAGCTGAAATAACAGAGCTGGAGGAACTACGTCTGTTCAAGCTTCAGGCTGAGAGTTCGAATGGCAAGAGACAAGTCACCCAGGATCTGTCTACCACTACATGCTTTGGTAACTTTATTGGTTATGCTCATGCGAACAAAGGTACACAGGTTCAGGCACTTGCATCCACTAAAACTCATGTTGATTGGATCATAGACTCAGGTGCATCTAGGCATGTCACAGGAACATCTAGTGAGTTTGCATTATATTATCCGAGTAAGCATATGCATCCTGAGACAGTTCAGACTGCTGATGGGACATCCCAACCCATCAGGGGTACTGGCTCGGTCCATTGCACTTCATCTGTTACCTTGTCATCAGTATTGCATGTTCCTTCGTTTCCAGTTAACTTACTCTCAGTTAGCTCTCTCATTGATCAATTAAATTGCACCGTGTTATTTGATCGAGATTTGTGTGTCTTTCAAGAGAAGGAAACGGGGAGGAGGATTGGGACTGGTATCAGACGTGATGGTCTTTGGTATTTGGACAGGGAGACAGCAATGATTGCTGCTGCTGTTAGCGGAGGGCCAGAGGCAGAAGCGATGCTTCAACATTGCCGGTTAGGGCATTTATCTTTTGAGAGTTTAAATAGATTAGAACCTGAGTTAATGAAGAAAGTGGATAGAAAAGAGTTATTTTGTAATGCATGTGAACTTGGAAAACATACTCGTTCTACTTATAGAATGATTGGTCTTCGAAGTTGTGAACCATTTGCACTTGTCCATTCTGATGTTTGGGGACCATGTCCTACTACCTCTATCAGTGGTTTTAGATGGTTTGTTACTTTCATTGATTGTTATTCACGTATGACCTGGATATACATGATGAAGCAGAAATCAGAGGTTTACAAATGTTTTTAAGATTTCTCGGCTTATGTGAAGACACAGTTTGGAGTGCAGGTGAAGATTCTTCGAACAGATAATGGGACTGAGTATGTCAATAAGGAGTTTGCAGCTTTCATCTCTAATCAGGGAATTGTTCATCAAACCACCTGCCCAGACACCCCTGCTCAGAATGGGGTGGCTGAGCGTAAGAACAGGCATCTACTGGAAGTGGCACGCTCATTGATGTTGACAATGAATGTGCCTAAGTTTTTATGGAGTGAGGCTGTTATGACAGCAGCTTATTTGATCAACAGGATGCCATCAAGAGTATTAGGGATGAAGACACCATGTGAGATGCTTTTGGGCTCGAATGTTTTTGTTGTTCCACCAAGAGTGTTTGGATGCACATGTTATGTGAGAGATCACAGGTTGATGGTGAGTAAACTGGATCCGCAAGCAGTTAAATGTATCTTTGTTGGCTACTCATCAAGTCAAAAAGGATACAAGTGTTGGTGTCCCACTGAAAGAAGGCTGTTTGTCAGTATGGATGTGACTTTTCGGGAGTTTGAACCTTTTTATGGGGAGAAGACGGAGTTGAGTTCCTTGTTTGGAGATGGCTCTACTGATGCTAGTAGAGAGGGGGAGAATGAGAATGAGAATGAGAATGATATTGTGGTCGGGATGATTCCATGTCCTCTTGAGTCACCGAGTAGTGATGGTACATCGCCGAGTAGTGGTGGTGACTTAGGAGTTGGTAGTCAAAGTCAGGGGGAGCTGAGAGTATACACGAGGAGACAGAAACAGCAGCATGAGCCGCCTCCCGTGCCTGTGTCAGTACCCACAAATGTTGATGACCCAAGTCCCTCCTCTCCAGTGCCTTGCTCTTCTCCTCCACCTGAGTCGATAGGTAACGATTCCTTCCCTGATACCTCTGATACTCCTGTCTTGCCCCGCAGAACCTCTAGAGTCAATGCTGGAAAACCTCCAGCTAAGTTTGGTAATTGGGATACTGATATTGCGAATTACATTTCATATGCATCCATTCCACCTGCATATAAGTCATTCATTGCATCGTTGCATTCAGTGCCTGTACCTAACAACTGGCAGGTAGCTAAGCAAGATCCTAGGTGGTTGAATGCCATGCACGAGGAACTCCAGGCCTTGAAGAAGAATGACACATGGGAGTTGGTACCTTTGCCAGCTGGGAAGCGTGCTGTTGGATGTAAGTGGGTGTATACGGTTAAGCAAACTCCAGAGGGCAAGATCGACAGATACAAGGCCAGATTGGTTGCTAAAGGCTACAGCCAAACATACGGCATTGACTATGACGAGACATTTGCTCCAGTAGCAAAGATGAGTACTGTTAGAGTGTTGGTGTCATGTGCTGCCAACTTTAATTGGCCACTACATCAGCTAGATGTCAAGAATGCCTTTTTGCATGGAGATCTTCAAGAGGAGGTATATATGGAGATTCCACCAGGCTTCACTATTTCTCAAGTAGCTGGGAAGGTGTGCAAGTTGAAGAAGTCTTTGTATGGGTTAAAACAGTCTCCGAGGGCATGGTTTGATAGATTCAGGTTGGCAGTTTGTGGTATGGGGTACAAGCAGTGCAATGGTGATCATACTGTGTTTTACAGGCACTCCAAAACTCGTATCACTATCCTGGCGGTCTATGTTGATGATATTGTAATCACTGGAGATGACGCTGAGGAAATCCTACTGTTGAAGAAGAAATTGGGAGAGGAATTTGAAGTTAAAGATCTGGGGCAGTTGAAGTACTTTCTCGGAATTGAAATTGCAAGGTCGCGAAAGGGTATAGTGCTTTCTCAGCGGAAGTATGCTCTGGATCTTCTCTCAGAGACAGGGATGTTGGGGTGCAGAGTTGCATCTACTCCTATTGAGCAGAATCATAAGATGAGTGCCGAGGGTGGGGACCCTGTGAGTAAAGAGCAATATCAAAGATTGGTTGGACGACTTATATATCTATGCCATACGAGACCTGATATTACTCATGCAGTGAGCGTGGTGAGTAGATATATGCATGATCCCAGAGAGCAGCATATGGAGGCAGTTCGCAGAATTCTTAGGTACATTAAAGGAAGCCCAGGAAAGGGGTTATGGTTCAGGAGTTCTGGACATCTGAGAATTGAAGGCTATTGTGATGCTGATTGGGCGGGTTGTATGGATGATCGTAGGTCCACTACAGGTTACTGTGTATTTGTTGGTGGCAATCTCGTATCTTGGCGTAGCAAGAAGCAAGATGTGGTGGCTAGGTCTACTGCTGAGGCCGAGTACAGAGCTATGGCAGTTAGTCTGTGCGAGTTGATGTGGGTCAAAAACATACTATCTGAGCTGCGCTTATTTAGAAGAAACTCCTTACAACTTTGGTGTGACAACAAATCGGCGATTAATATTGCAAACAATCCTGTTCAGCATGATCGGACCAAACATGTAGAGATTGATAGGTTCTTTATCAAGGAGCAACTGAATAGAGGAATTCTGACTGTGAGCTATGTGAAATCAGAAGAGCAGCTAGCTGATTGTTTAACAAAAGGATTAGGTTCTAGAGAGCATGATATCTTTTGTAACAAGATGGGAATGATTGATATCTATCGCCCATCTTGAGGGGGAGTGTTGAGTTATTTAGATACATTAAGCTAATTAGTTAATATTGTAAGGGCTTATTTGTAAGAGTACATTAATATAAAGGGTACCTCTCTGTGAGAAAAGAGAACCCTAATCTTTACCTAAGAAAGTCTACAGTAACCTAGCTATGTATGGAAAGTTAATCCCATGTACCTTGTTGCTTTAATATTGTTTGCTTTCCAATAGCAGAAGTATTAGGTGTACACTTAAATAATGTGTTGGACTCAAATGTTGGTGTAGGTCACTGGGACCCACTTACTCTTATTGTCTTTAACTTTGTGCAATTTGTCTATCATGTTATGTACCTTTATCTTGTATTTGCTTGAAGATTAGGCGTACAGATGGGTGAATGTGAATATTATATGATATACATATCGTATTTATATCTCTTTACTTATGACAGGTATGAATACAAATGGAAATATGATGAAAATGGGCTTGAAAAATCAAAGATTGTTTTGTTTTTGTTATTGCCTCTAGTTTCCTTTTTTTCCCTTCTTTCCATATGAAATAGTTACTTATCATGAAAGGTGCTCAATGTTTTTCTCACATTAAATTTCAAGTGGCTCATCTGGTCCTTAGATGACATATCTTTTAGTTACTTGAATTTTTCCTCTTGTTTTATTCTGTGGAAATAAACCAAGTGTAATTAGTCTCTTGTTTTTTCATCCTTCTGACTACAGGTGGATTTAGGGACCCAGGTTTCTACTGAGGCTTGTACATTTAATTATGACCAGACTTTTTGAGGTGGGACTTAGAGTCCTTAAAACTCTTAAAACCCATCTGAGCATATCTTGATGCAATTGCCTTTATGTTGATGGTGATTGATGAAAAAACTGATGGCCCTTAAAAGCCTCTTAAGCTCTAGGACAAGGTATCTATATGTATGTCTGCTTGCATGTAAGGGTGCAAAATCATGGAAATAGGTAGGAAATTTTGTATTTTTACACATTTGTCAAGATAAAATACGTATTTCTCGGTTTTATTGTGAGGAGTATGGATTCTTAGGCATATGAATATAATACCTTTTCTTTGTTGGAAAAGAACTAAGGGCATAAATTTTGACCATTATAAACCATTCTTGTTTATGCCTGGATCTGTCTTGTTTCCTTCTTACTTTATTTTTTCCTTTTGATCCCCCAGAATTAAGTTTGTAAATTGGAAAACTGAAGCTAAGAGAAGGTATGTTTCATTCTAACCAAAGTGTTTACCTATGTTTCAAAAATCAAGCATCTTAGAAATGTGGGTATATTGTTGCATACATGATCACTTTCATCACTGATAAAAGTACTTATTGAAGATATATCATTCTTGTGTTTGCTTCAAGCTTCACTCTTGCATTTTTCATCGTGTACTTTGAGTTCTTTGTTCTTTTTTTGAGCGTTAAAACAATCAGAGCACCTCCACATCCAATCAAAATGAAAGGATCTGTGTCCTTGAAAAAGAATTAGAAAACTTTTCTTGTATTTTTTCCGAAATTAACAGTCCATATATGCTCAAGGACTTCAGGGTATCAAACCCTATCTTTCAAATATGAGACTGGTTGCTGACTGATCTTAAATGGATTTGTTGGTTCAAAAAGACAAATAAAGCCAACAACACATGAGACTTTTCTCACCGCCATGAAAATTTTGCATGATACATGTATAGTAACACAACTCATTCAGCCTGTTCTTTTGTGCAGTCCTCAATAAATTCTCTCTGTACAGTAAACATATTTCAGGCTTAGGTGAAAAAATGTTGGGAACAAAAGGAGAAGTCAGATCACTGTGCATCAATTAATCAACGCGCGATATGGCTTTATTTGGACCACTGTTTATTTCAAAATCAGTTTTGATTGCAGAAGAAACTAAATATAAGCACTGGGACCAATGTTCAGTACATTTTCCAAATGTGTTTTGTGTAATTAGGACGTGCTAAGGTATATAACAGCTCCTGTCTTATCCTTTGAGTAGTCTTTTTTCATTTATATTTATGGCGCCTTTAGCACAGACGGGAATCGAGCCCAACGGGGGAGCGACACGGCTTTGTCATGTGACCTACTGAGCCGCCCCATCCTTTGAATAGTCTTAATCTTAGAAGATTTAATGTTAGGGCTCCCACCTTTAATCCTTTGAATCGAAGAATCCCAATCTTATTTTTTACAAATTTATAGGGGTAATATGTAGGCTACGCCAGCCTATTATGGAGATAGTATTTTGATCGAAATTTAAACAATTGTCAAATAGTGCATCCGCCGGGAAATAGATGAAGAAAAATTTTTGAGGATAAAAACACAACTTTCCTCTATTCTAATGTCCGAGTCAAGTTAGAAAGAGGGCTATTAGTGTACAAACTTCTCTCTGTCAAATTTGATGTCATCTTTCCTAGTTCGCCAGTGTTCCCCTCGTCTCCTACTATTGCACTTCTATCTATTTGAAGTCACTCTTGGATCATCACAAACAAGCCGAAGAGGAGGAAGGACAGCCACAACGTCAGGCGGTAGAGGTTGGTGGAGGAGAACCTGAATGATAATCGCACGGTATGGGATGAGTGTAGAATTGGCTTTCAGGCTCAGGTTTCAGGTAGACTGGGTGGCGGTCGACCGCGTTCGTGCACAGAGGCTTCTATGCGTTTGGATCAGTGGCGGTCGATCGCAGAAGTTTCTGCTTTCACCGCGGTCGACCCAGAAGTCTCTGGATTTTTGCTGCTGCTCTGGGATTGAGGGCGGTCGACCGTGGCAGTCGACCGCGATGGATCGCGGTCGACCGCGATGGATCTAGGGTTGGTGGGAGGGGATTTTGAGCTGAACTAAGAGGAGATTTGGGGCTTCTATTGTTGGAGCCATTTGGAGAGATTGAGAGGGCTTATTTGAGGGTTTTGGTAAGATTTGTAACCCTAACTTGTATTCCCTTTGATTTCTAATAGTAAAACTCTCCCCCTCCTTGTCCCGTGGACGTAGGCACATTGCCGAACCACATATATCTTGTGTTCTTGCTATGATTGGGTGGCTTGGGTTCTATTGTGGTCTATTATTGGTTCTTGTGTGTGCTATTGATTTGTCTAATCGGGCTTCCGCGGCGCACAACAAGTGGTATCAGAGCTCCGGGTTGGATTTGGGAGTTTATTCGAAGGATTCACCGTTGGGTTCTTGTTGGGAGAGTAGATCTACAATATGATTGAAACAAACAAGGCTAGTTCAAGTGCTACAAGTACATCGGGATCGACTTTGACAAAGGCGATCCAAAGTTTGAGCATCAATAATACTAAAATTGATGTTCCAAAGTTCGATGGCAAGATAAATTTCGGCTTATGGAGGTGTCAAGTAATGGACGCCTTAGATGCACAAAATTTAGATGAGACTCTTGAGCTACAAGAGAAACCCGAAGATGTTGAAGACAATGTTTGGAAGAAAATGAACAGTAGAGCTTATGGGTGATTCGGTCATGCTTGACGTCGGATCTCATTTATGATGTGATGAACGAGACGTCGGTGAAGAGATTGTAGGAAACACTCAATGAAAAATATTTGACGAAGAGCATTGAGAATATGCTTCATTTGAAGAAAAGGTTCTACCAATTCAAGATGAAGAGAGGAGTTTCCATTCGAGAGCATGTTAACAACTTCACAAAGCTAATTTCGGATATGGCCAATGTTGATATCATGGTGGAGGATGAAGACAAGGCGATGTTACTATTGTGTTCGTTGCCGGATGATGAGTTTAGTACTTTTGTTCTCACTATGATAAATGGGCGAACTACAGTTAGCTACAATGAGGTGACCTCGACATTGGTAAATTATGAGCTGAGGAGGAATGATAGTGAGCCATCCGAGAAGGCATCGGGTGATGCATTAGCAGTTCATGGCCATAGTTCAAACCGTCAAAGATTCAACCGCTCAAAATCAAAGAATAGGAGTGGTCATAAGAGTGTTGGTAGAAATCAATGTGCCTTTTGCAAAGAAGAGGGACATTGGAAGAATGAGTGCCCAAAGTTGAAGGATAGAACCGGGAAGCAAAGGGGGAAAGCTGTACAAGCTTCAGAGGTGAATATTGCTAAGGTTGTTGGCGACATTTCAGATTCGGATTCTTCCGGTTATTCTTGTCCCGCACTGCCGTCAGTTTGTTATGCCGACTCTACGGAGTGGATGCTTGATTCGGGAGCTACATTTCACATTTGCCCTAAAAGGGATTGGTTTACCAACTTTGAGGAGTTGGAGAGAGGGGACATGGTGCTCATGGGGAATAATCACGTTTGTCCTATTAGTGGGATTGGCTCAGTCAGAATCAGAATGCATGATGGGGTGACTAGGAAATTGAAAGAAGTAAGGTTCGTGCCGCAGTTGACGAAGAACATCATTTCTCTTGGGACTTTGGAGGCAGCTGGTTACAGAGTGATCTTAGAGGATGCTACTTTGAAGGTCATGAAGGGGTCCATGGTGGTGATGCGAGGTGTCAGGGAAGACAACCTATACTACTTAAAGGGCAAGACAGTTACAGGGGGTATGGTTGTTTCTATCACCACAGAGGAGGACACTACCATACTATGGCACATGAGGTTTGAACACACAGGTGATAAGTCCCTACAGTCATTGGCAAAACAAGGACTATTAAACGGTGCAAAGACCTGCAAGATGGAACTGTGTGAGCATTGCATTCTTGGGAAGAAGACTAAAGTGAAGTTTGGCACCGCAATTCACAACACCCAAGGTATATTAGACTACATTCACACAGATGTTTGGGGCCCTTCTAAGCATACATCGCTTGGTGGGGCAAATTATTTTGTCACTTTCATTGATGATTATTCCAGGAGGAATTGGGTATATACCATGAAGCATAAACATGAGGTCCTGGATATATTTGTGGAGTGGAAGAAGAAAGTGGAACTGCAGACAAGTAGAAAGGTGAAGACTCTTCGTTCAGACAATGGTGGAGTGTATAAGAGTGATCCATTTCTGCAGTTTTGTCGGGATCACGACATTAGAAGACACTTCACAGTTAGAGAGACACCGCAACAGAATGGGGTGACAGAGAGGCTGAACCGTACCTTACTGAAGAAGGTGCGATGTATGATGACGCAGAGTGGATTGGCTAGATCCTTTTGGGCCGAGGCGTTAGTTTATGTGAGCCATCTCGTTAACAGGTTGTCGTGCACTGCGATAGAGGGGAAGACTCCTATGGAGTGTTGGTCTGGTTCTGTGGCTTTTGATTATAAGACTCTTCGGATATTTGGGTGTCCAGCTTATTTCCATGTTAGTGATGAGAAGTTGAATCCGAGAGCGAGGAAGACTATCTTTGTAGGGTTTAGAGAAGGTGTCAAAGGCTTCAAATTATAGGATCCACAAGACAAGAAGATGGTCATTAGCAGAGATGTCACATTTGATGAGGCGTACATGATGAAGCCTCGAGTTCCTCAGCAGGTGGAGGAAGATAAGACAGGAGGGATATCGCAGCAGATGGAGGATGATGTGACTCCACCCACTCTAGTCAACACTGTGTCTATTAAGACTCCTACAGAGGTGACACTGGAAGGAGATGAGATGACAGTCGGGCAATTAGTGGATACAGTGGATGGTGAGGCTCAGGAGCAGGGTCATGCTCAGGGGTCCATTGCAGCAGATAGACCGAGGAGAGAGATTCGTCGGCCATCTAGATATGATGATGTCATGGTGACATATGCTTTATCTATGGAGGTCGTTGATGATTTGATTCCTGCCACATTCAGGGAGGCAGGGTCCAGCCCTGATTCTATTAGGTGGAGGAATGCT